AAAAGGGAGAAGGGAAGCTTTGCTAATAAAAGCAGAAAAGAAAAAAAAAGGGGGGGGGTTTAAACTGCTAGCTTCAGTTCTCCCAATTTTCATTTCAAGCTGTCTCTGCGCTTTATTGCCTGCAGACCAGTTTCCTTTGCAGGTGATGCGGGCCCAAAATTACATCACCAGCAGAGCAGCCAAGAGCATCTCGGTGCCAGGATGACTGCAGCCGGGAGGAATGTATTATCACAGAGCGCTGAGGACCTCGCCAGTGCATTCCTTGCTGGGGGTGCCGTGCTGGGGGAGGCGCCGAGGAGACAATTTTACACCAAGTCTGAAAGTAAACTTGGTAGGAGGGGGTCACAGTCCTGAAGTCTCCTCTAAGAAGATCTAATTATGGCCTTGTACTTCAAAAAGAGGGCTTAACTAAAACCAGATTTTGGCGGACACTGCTTAGAAAGCACAGAATGAATCCCCAGCCCTGCCTTTGAGGAAAATGAGAAATGCTTCAGTGCACTGGGGACACTGGCACTTTGGTTGCAGAGAATAATTTGCAGCTACAGCAGGAGAAGCAAGAACCAATTTAAAATCTTCAGAACTTCAATGAAGTCTTACGTGAAAGTGTTACTGTGCATAATATTAATATGGACAATACTTAGATGCCAGGTGTGTATTTACTGACGTGTGGTGTGGTGAAACAATCTCAGCAGTCTTAAGGACTGTGCTGGAAATGATCAAATTACTCACAAAGCAGTGGCACAGATTGCCCTTAACAAGCTCAAATAAACTCTTTCTGCCACATTGCAGCATGTAGTCCACAAACAATGTCCCAGGCATGTGAAGGAAACTCCCTCCTCCTCCCATTTTCAGCAGCTTTCAGGCTATTTCTGCTATTCTCCTGCAGATGAGGCTCAGTGGTCCTCGCCACAAAACTGTTTCTGAAGCATAAAACCAATGGGAGCTTCCCAGTGCTTTTTAAATAGAAGCAAAATACGCTGTTAACAAAGTGGGTTAAAAGAAGAGTACAAGACAAATTGTTCAAAGATTAGAATCTCTAAAAATTTCATGATTTTAAATGTCATCTTTCAGGTCCATCAAGAGCTCAAAGAAAACTGAGGTTGCACAGACCTCTCCCCAGTGACACTGGGAGAAAGGGGTCCTGCTGATTCAATAGAAAGTACAGTTGCTTCCTAAGATTTCTCTTTATTGCTCCTACAACAGCTTCCTAAAGAAGACTGAGGGCTGGGACTAGGCAAAACAAAGAATAACCAAGGACCGTGTTATGCTAATCCTTCCAGTCCAGGGGACATTTTGGGGGGTACAAAAGGGTGATTAACTGTGTTAGCTACAGCTAAACTGGTAACAAACAAAATGCTGCAAGTTCCCAATAGTGTGGCTAGAAACCAGAAGGGTGCCTGTGTCGAGAGGTCTAACTTCATCATTGCAGCTGCAGTCTCATTGCATGCTCTTAGATGCCATTTCCAGCCCAGCTATCACTGCAGCTCCACACAGACCTCTTATTCTCCAGATGCCAAACTAGAGCCTCCTTCTCCCTCTGCTCACACCAGTGGTCTCGGAGGGGAGCCTGGAGCCTCTAGCTCTTCTCCTTATTCTGGAGCCGGATCAAGGGCTTGCAGGGAGACATCTGCTTTTGCCTTCCCAGGGTGGGGGGCAGATAAGGTGCCAAAGGCGGCACATTGCACTTGTCATCTACTGGGCTTCTCTGCTACTGTGCAAAGGGCCACAGATGGAAAAAGGGGTTGGCCGTGCCCTTTTGTGGATATAGGAAAGAGGCTGGCCCAAAACCCTTTCTGCACACAGAGTGCATCTCCAGAAGAGCTTCCCCATGCAGACCGGCCACAGGGAGGTGCAGGCAAGTCATTTTTCCCTCTCCAGTCTGGAGGAATGTAGGCAGCTGCTAGATTGCCTTCCCAAAGCCATGTGTGCAAACGGGCTCCATTAAACCCAGCACGTCCAATTAGAGCCATGGGAGAAGGTAACAAAAATGCAAAAAGAAAGACGGTTAATGTTCACAAGAGAGGATGAGCAATGGAGGACAGAGAGGAGCACTGAAAGAGACACTGATGGTACAGAAATAGTGGTTGATGAAGGTTGCATGTGGAAAAGGAGCATATTGACCCAAAAATAAGAAATAGAAGATACTATCATAAACTTTCAAAACAGTCCCAGCTTTATCATAGCATACTCTAGGGAAATGTGCAGATTTGCCAGCATGTCTGTAGAAGCACCTTTTACTAAAACAACCAGATTTCTTTCAATTCCCTCTGGCAAAGTGCTGTCATCTTTTCTGTAACATCTGGATTTTTTCTGCAACTGTCTTGCACAAATCTGGGAGAGCCAACATCAACAGTCAAGCCCTTCGGTGACTGCTGCTTGCTCTCTTTACCTCTCCTAGCTGTCTGTTTTGTATAGTCCTATGTTAAGTTTTCTCTTTTTCATATGTTTTGTGCCTAACTATTCTTGACAAGTCATGCATTTCTGTTACTTCTTCCTCTCTCTGTGAGGTTGGCCTAATAATCAGCCCCTCACAGAGATTGTTAACTTTTGCATTATGTTGCTGTGGATGGATTAGAGCTAAAGTATGAAAGTATATGCAAATATACTTTCAAATATACTCTTCTATATATATGCATATATAGTAGATGGATACTAGAAAGATGTTAGAACCAAGAGATATTCTCTGCCCCTTTTTATCTTGTTCAAACAGGACAAACAGGACATCTGCAAAAGCAGATATAGCCTGTAAAGGTTGGTGTGGCCAATATGGGTTATGAAAGATTAGTAAAATTCTGCGAGGATAGGAATTGTGGCATAGCACTGCTTTTGTTGTACCAGACTGCTGTGAAACGGCCCCTCCACAGGACCCGTCTTCCTCCAGCTCACCCTGTCTCATTAACATTATAACTGTGAGCTTAACAGAGCGACTGATGGGCAAGGTTCACTTCACTGTCCCTTTTGTTTTTCACAGAGACTACATGTCTGTCCAGCTCTTAGCAAAGTAAGCCTCAGGCTTCAAAGCATGACATTAAAGCAAATTATATATGTAATGATACTTGTAAAATAGGAATGCTTAGGCAGAACCCTAAGAAATGCCCTTGGGCAGGCCAGCTCTCTGTCCTAATATGCAGATTGAGTGTAATTTTCTGTATATTTTAGCTTATTGCAATTGAGTCTTTCTAGTAAAAACTTCATCTTTTGACAAAAATCACTTGCTGATTGCCACTATGGGGCTTTCCTGTCAAGTCATCCCATCACCTTCTCTCTTCAGGTGATACTACTTCCATGCTTGATACCTACAAGGTGTCAAGCAGCCATATGCAGCCTTAGCTTTCTGTGCACTCAGAAAACAAAAATGGTGAATTTAGATAATTTATACTAAACTAATAAATATTTTCCACCCCATCCTGATTTTGCTAATCTGCTGCATAAGTAATCTGGGAGGAACATGCTGAACAGGGTGGGACCTACATTCCTGATTTTCCAAGTTCAGTCACATGCCATGTTCCCTCTCTTTGGTCATTGTTAGGCTTGAAATTATTTTTTTCATTAGTGCCTTTGACAAACAAAGTGGATTAAATAGCAAACATCAGGTTTCTCTTTTTACTCAACATAAATCAAAAGGACTTCAGCAGTATAATTATTCCCCTGCAGCTACCAGCACAGAGGCACTGGTGACTAGAGCTAATGGATTTGGTTGCTCTTAAAGGAACTGCTTTCAATAGAAGTCCAAACTCAAATTCTCCTTTTTTTATTGCTGTTTGTCCAAAAAATGTGGAGTGTAGGAAAACAGAACTTTAAAAGACACCACAGAGCATCAAGAACATGAGAGAATAGCCACAGAGATAGGACTTGGTATCTCAGTTTCACTAATGAGACAGAAGACTTTTTAGTCAATTCATTGAAAACAAATCATTCGGTTTATAATCCTGAGTTCCACTCATGAGCTGAGTTAGCATTATAAGAAGGCAGCAATTATCAATTAAAGAGAATGTGGTAGATAAATGTGAATGGTATTTTAATACAGCCTTTACTTGTGCAGCAGTTTGGTTGCCTGCATCTCCACACATATATTCAGCAGAGATTAAAACATGACAGCTAACAGAAGTGGATGTGAAAATATTCCTTACTTGGAAGTAAGACATACTTAATTTTTGGTTTTCTGTGAAGGCAAAAAAAAATGCTAAGATGCACAAGGCTTTTTTTTTTGTTTTTGTTGTTCTTTAAAGTTTGTCAATCAACACAGAAGAATAAAGAGCCAGAAAAACAGCAGACAGTAAATCAGGGAATACAGTCACTTTAGCTCTTGTGCTACCTACTCAAAGCTGGCTCTACAATAAGCTCAGGAAATTCAATGAACAATTTAACTCATTACTTTTTGCAAATGTCTGTCACTAGATAGTTCACTGGTTTCCTCAGAAGCATTCCTCCTTTGAATTTTTCTAAAGTACTTTTCTCAGAGTTTTTTATTTTTTATTTTTATTTTTTTTAAAATAATGATGATTTTGAGCAGTTTGGTGTGAGAATTAAATACTTGTTTTTGAGAAACTGGGATTGAGTGCTCTAAGTCAGGTGCTGTTTCTGTTCTATATTCTAGTGTGTGTTTTTTCTCATCCTATTTTGCTGGGATAAGCATGGCACCATCCTTCATGAAAAACAGTCTGTTGGGTTCACGTAGCTAGGTGTGCCAGGCCACAACTTACCAATGCAAATAACATCCGATCTCTCAAAAGCTGCTGGGAGATGAATCCCCAATGGGCATGAGCAAATCCAAACAAATTCATTTTTAAATTCAGGTACACACTGCAAGAGTATTTTATGCTATTCTTCCAGCTCTAGATGTGAACAGTAATGCACTAGCAATGTGAGCGACCTGACTTTTACAAATGGTTTACATGGGTTTAGTGGCACTTAAAGACAGAAAATCCTAGAACATGTCATTTCTGAACCAAACTTTGGTGGATATTGAAGATATCCTTTGCACTGGCTCAGGTACTCACCTCTCGCGTTCCTGTTCCAAGAGGTTGGTAAAGTCATCGCTCTTGTTCATGTAATCTGTATGTTTATGCTTCTCATTTTCTAGCTCATAAACTGTGCGGCGATGGCACTTTTCTGCCAAGAGGAGCTGTTCCAGCATGCGTCGATATGTCTCTTTCTGCTTTTCTTCAAGTCTGTCCAGCTGGATTGTAGAAAAGGAGAATAGACTGTTTTAAAGGTCTCCTTGCTTACTTCATCTGATTTATTAACCAACAGTGTTGTGCTTCACAAATGCAAGTTCCATAATTTTGTCTTGGGCTTTACATAAAGCAGTGCCTTGAAGGAAGAGGAATTGTCCTGTAAAAATAATGATTTCTTTGGGCAGTGTGTTTGCAATAAACATTTGCATAGTTCTCATACACAAAGCACAGGACTTTGCATAGTTTTAGGATAACAAATATCGCTGCAGTGCAGAATGTCTCCTGTGGTGACGTTCCGCACCCGCTCTCCTTATTTTATGGAGGAAAAGCTGTAGCTTGGCACCTCACAGTAGGAAGTAATAAGCCAATTAACCTGCAAAGTGCTCTGCAAATCCCGGGCAGGATACCTGCCCTCAGACCCTAGGGAAGCTGGAAGCAACTGAAGAGATGCAGAGGATTAGATGAAAAAAAGACTAGACCTTACTAGAAGTCTTTGATGTTTCATGCTGGACAACTGGAGCCTGAATTCAAGTACTTAAATGGGAACTTAAATACCTAAATGTGGAATTTTAGGGTGTAAGCTCAAGGTTGGAATTTGAACTATGCATCTGCAACGCAGTCATATCCCTAGGCCTGCTGAGATACAAAGTGTAACCTGTTTAGATTCAGCATGGATTCAGTTTTACATTCCCAGCTACAATTCATTACAAGCCTTAGGATTTTCCCCTCAGCCTAGAAAATAAATTCTTCTTGTTTTTATAAGTAATACTTCACTGTTTTCTCTTCTATTTCTTCATTAATTTACTACACCAGGTGTCTTTCAAACAATCACTACTGAGGACACACTAAAACCACCAGAGCTATTCCTGTAGTTCCTTTCACAGTTTCTTGGGAGAAGACAACGGAAACTCAGTTTCTCATTGCATTAACAGAGCCCACTCTGAATTAGATTGATTTATGACACTGTAAATTCAGTCAAAATCAATTTCTGATAATCTTGTCTTCCTAACTACTCATATGACACCGCTCTAGTAGGCCAAGAAAGTCAAAGAGCACTTATCAGTGCTCTGATTTACATTAGAGATTCAAGCCCACAACTGAGTGGAATTTATAAAACAGTAATGTGACACCAGAAGATTTTGTTCTTGCCTGGCTGCAGTAATCCTAAGTAGCATATGGGATTTTTACTGTTTAAGTTCAAACACAATGATATTGATTTTTAACCTGCATTTTGAGTGAACAAAAGTATTCAAATTTTCTTCATTTTCTTATCATTTGCACAGAAGTTGTATAATCCTCTTGTGTGCTTTGCACAAATGCAAAGTTGGCAGACTTTCACTTCTGATCAGGATTGCCCAATACAGACTTGCTGACATAAGTCAAGAACTTATTACCTCTGAAATTGGTTTCTCATAGACATCTTCTCCTATTGATTTTTCTTGAGCAAGGATGGCATCCCTGTGTAGCACTCGGAGCACATTCTCTGGAGCTGCAGATCCATAATGAGCTTCTAAAACTTCAGGTTTGGTTTTCTCTGTCTTCAGCATGTGGATCACATCCTCCCTTGCCTGTAAAAGAGTAAAGCAGTACAATAAGCCAACATGTGACCAACAGGGAAAACAGAGGCATTTGAGATGCACAGAATGCATATGCAAAAGTGAAATATATTAGAAGAATGTCAACCTGCTAATTCAACACTGGGAGATATCAGCATTATCCATGCAAAGCTGAATGAGATCCTTGTAGACATTAATCTGTCCCTGCCTGTCATTACATACAAGTCCTATGAGTTTTTATGTGAATTAGAATTAGAGCCAGGGAAGATACTGCTTTGTTCTCTTCTGTGTCCATGCAGTTCACTCACTGAGGTAGGTGCAAAGACGAGTAAAACAAGCAGCACAAGCGAGCTGAGTTAATATTTCTCAGCCTCAAGTCAAGCTTTTCTAGTTGTCCACTACGTAACTTTATGACTGCGCCCTCTCTTCTTCCGTAACATTTTAAACAACATTTCCTCGTTTTTCTTATGGTTGCTTAAAAAGAACCCCCAAAATGTTGTAGAAAACAGCTAACTACCATAGCTGGTGACAGTTACAATGAGGTTGAACAAATCTTTCCAAAAGCAGAAGACAGCCCTTAAGCCTTTAAGCTCCCAGCACATCTGGAAGCAGTGGTGCCCAAGCGGTTGGGGGGTGTGTGAATCTCCGTTTCTGGGATGGAGATCCCTGTAATTGCAGATGGCATAACCAGACGTCTGGGTCTGATGAGACTGCTCTGCAAAGCCACCTGCCCATAAATAAGCAGCATTTTAGAGACATACTACAGGCAAACACTTAATCTCGAGCTCTGTTTCCAATGGTATTTGCCAACATCTGTTAAACCATCTGTAAAATGAGGGAACGACACTTGCTTGTCCTTCAAGGAGGGCTTATAAGGCAGCAGGAGGGTTAGAACAAGTTATTGGTGGGGAAGGGGCAACTCCTGGGTTACCCTTGGGTTCCTGGAAGGGCTCTCACCCACCAGCCCAAAGGGGAGGAAGGCACAAAGGTTTGAACACTTTTTTTTTTTCTCTTGTCTCAACCTCTATGCACTTGGAAAGCTAATTAAGCACTAATGAAAGGTTCAGGTATTTTAGGAGAAAGTTCTCATAAATTCTGCCCTTATATAAGCAACATCTGTTTAGGATTTATGAACTGACCAAAGCTTGACACTTTTCCACAGGGTTGATAATAGCACTCTGCATTATCCCGATAGCAAATCTTCAATCTACACCACACGACAGAGGCACCACAGTCCTACAAAATCACCTGCTTTTAAAATGAGTAAGGAAATAATCTCAGGAAACATCAAAGATTCTTTCATCTTTTTTAAAATAAAGTATGAAAATAAAATGAAAAATGAGTTTGGGGCAAAGTCCATGCCATCCAATTGAAAACTAGCCAACTTATAAGTTATCTGTACTAGCTGATTCTGTACAACATTTTGTAACCTTAAGAGGAAGCTTTACACATATCTTTGTCTGCAAAATAGAAAATACAGTCTGGAATGGTATTTTTTTTTTTTTTTTTTGCATGAACTTGGGAAAGGTGCATCATTCATAGATGTCAAAACCACAAATGAATTATGTGAGTTAGTCCCAAAGCATGCCAAGAGAACCTGCACACCTCACTACATCACGTCCTGAGAATATGTCACTCTCAATTCAGGAAAAATGTTATTTTAGGGAAGTTTTAGACAGCTTCAAGAACATGCCATTTTTTATATCCCTCTACAAATAACAGTTATCTTAATGTCTTAGTTACTATGAGGCCAATGTTTCTATACTGAAGGAAAAGCCCCTTAAAAGTCTAATAAAATAGCATGGGAGTTTTTTTGATACTTAACAAAAATCACGGTTTTATGACTTGTTATCCTAAGCTCTTTAAGGAGGAGAACACTTGTTTTACTGAGCTATGCAATCAGGTTTCTTCTTCTGGGCCTCCAGGATCTTATTTTAAACCCCATTGTGCAGCAAGACTTCACTTATGCACATGCTTACTTTATTTCCAGCCTTGTTAGTCTTTAATGATCACAGATTGAAGTGGGGTATATGTAGCAGGAAGAAAGGAGAGTCACTGAAACCATGGCTCATTTGACCATTAGGGAAGGTTGCTGGAAGCTCTGGGTTTGGCTCCCCAGGGACTGCAGCAGGGCCTGAGCTGGAGGAGCTGGTGACGCTTCACGGAGGAGCGAGACCCCAAATGGGCAAGGAGGGGGTGTCCCACCTCGAGTCAGAGCTCTGAGGGGCGCCTTAATTGCTGCTTCGTCTTTAAAAGGTGGATCTGACTGCCCTCACTCCAGAAGACAGGCAAGATGCAGCGCGGCCTGTCGCATGGCGAGGTGCCTCCCGCCTTCCCGGGCTTGGCCCGCTCTTCGTATCATTATCTTTTCAAGGGTATCGGCTAATTCACCGAGTGCTCTGTTTCCATGGACTTATGATAACAGTTTGTGAAAAGCAAACTAACAAACAGACACTCCACATCAGGTTGCTAGGAAGCACTGGAGCGAGAAAGGGGCCTCCTGCTAATAATAAACTGAAGAGAAATTTGCTTTTATTTGGTCAGAGACAAGCCCAGGCATAGATGGATCCTGAAATGCATCTACCCGCTGGCAGAGCACATTCATGGGGACGGGGGCGACAGCGTAGCTTCCCGCCAGCCACAGGATTTACAAACTTCAGTGAGTCTCTCTGAAACCCCTTGGAGTACTTGCATAGGGAATATGCTGCAACAGTAGGCTTGTATAATTCATGATTTCATGTTTCCTTCAAATGACTAATTTTCCACTGTAACAAGTAGATGGGAATTGGCATGGAGACGTTTTCTTTCAATGCACTGTATAGTGAACAGCTATAATGATAGCTGAGATATGCTATATCTCAGGATACAGGCCATTTTCAGATAACAAGCCCAAATAAGCCTGTGGAAGAATTCTTGGGCTACATCAACACATTTGTGTAGAAAGAGTTACAAAAGGTGTTCCTTAGCTAAGGAAAAGGCACCATGCTGGCAAAGCCTTTCCACTGATGGACATCTGCTTTAGGTGTCTCCTTTGTCTCAAACTACAGTTCTGCTTAGCACAAAGCATATGCTAGAAGACAAACACGAGGAAGAGATTCCAAATGGGAAGTAAACTTGGATATAAATCACGGATTGAAGTTGTTAGCTGTTTCACTAGAAGAGCAATGGTGTTTTGGCACAGGAAAACTATCTCTGAATTCCCCTTCTTTTTCTGATGAGAGAGACTCTTCAGACATAAGATGACCATATATTGCATCTGCTTTGAACAAATGAAAATTATTTATGAAAAAGTCCAGAAGACTGCAGTCAGTTAGAGAAGCTCTTTAAAGTCAAGATATGGATTTTAAAATGCATATGCCTTTTCCCTTGTAGAAATTGTTGTGCCTTTTTAGTTTTTTTATTAACTTAAATAGACCTAGAGAAATTTCTAAGCTAAGCTTCTATCTGTAATATTCAGTTTGTTATTTCCTGGAAAATAAATCCACTTTTCTGCTAATACAGTGTCCTCAAATAACCGATCCTCTAAATAGTAGCGGTGATCAAGGCAGATTAATGAGCAGGTCACTCAGAAATACTCTCAAGGTGAAAAGCACAAGAGGACTGATACAGTGAAAGGTTTTCCCTACGTGTAAAGCCTGCTGAGGAGACTCCCTGTCAGTGGACCTGCCTTGACCATCTCTGCTGATAGAGGAATTGTAATGACCAACTGTATGTAAGCCTCATTTAGTGCTTATCAGAAGTGCCAGATTCTAACAGTTTGTGACCTTAGATCTCTAGTAGGTCCATGAGGGGCTGAAGATCCATCAAACCCTGCTGTCACATACAGCTTCCCACTATCTTCTTTCCACCTCCTCTAGGGACTAGTGAATAGTGCACTTACTTACTTAAAATGTGGGATCCAAGTTCCAGATTTTTTTCCACACAGAAAATACAAATTCACACTTTCCTCCTCTCAGGAGTGTGTTTTAACCACCCAGCTAGAAAGCTGCAGTGAGACCACTTTTTGCATGGCTACCATGAAAAAACCGTGAAATAATCACTTTGAGGCAGACTAAAGGTATATGGCTGTGCTCTAATATGCATCCAGTGAAATATTTAAATGCTATAGGAAGGATGTAAAGAGGTCTACGCATGGAACTGGAAACACTGAGAAAACAATAGCATGACTCTGCTGCTTGCACAAGGGGACTGGCAGCCTAGCAACCCAATTCCCACTCAATGGAAAGCCTGTTCCCCATGGCCAGCATCGGGACGTGCTTCCTCGCCGTGCCCTGCCCTGCCAAGTTACTACAGTCCGTGCTCTCCATTCCCACAGTCTTTGGCCTCTCCAGTGAGACTGCTAACAAAACTTAGCACCCAATAACGGGGCATTTTTGCAATAGCTCATTTGTCACCTGGGAAATGGACTGAGCTGATAAAACTTGTTTCATGGAAGGCATCTATTAAATTAGGAAAAAAATATAGGCGTATTCAGGATGGCCTGAATGGTTTCAAAGTAATTACTGTCAGACGAGAGCAAAATCCAAGTCAAGATCCTTTACCAGTACTTTACCTAAATTCTTCTCCTCGATTTTGTCTGTTCATAAGTTGGGTTCCTGCCAATTTGCAACACACAGTTCTCTAAACCATTTATCAGTAACTATTTCCCTTCATGGCTCCATGGTTGATTTAAAATATGTCTAATGACTTCACAGTGATCTAAATTCCTCAATATCATGATAAGACTCCTCTCAGTTAATAGAAACATGTTCTGAAAATTCAGGGCCATGAGTAGTGTTTATGGGAATACATTTATGCAATATTTGGAATTTCTGATATTTCCACCTTTTGAGTATTTCTTTTCTAATCTTCACAACACTTTGTCATGGCTACTCAAGAGGACTTAACGTTTATAAAGTCCTATTTTTCCTCTGCTTAATGGTAAGAAAATAGCTATTAAACCACAGATAGGGGCCTTTACTTATTACTTGTGTTATTTCACACAGCTCAGGTTATTAATAGTATAACAGCTG